CAGGAAGGCCAACATCTGCCGCGCGCTGGCGCTCTTCCAGCCTTGTCCTTTCAGGGGCCCTTCGCAGGCTGCCACGTAGGTCTCCAGCGCCTTGGTGCCCACTCCTCGGAAGTCCGGCGCTGCGCTCTGCTGTCTGCCATGCGCCATGTCTGCTGTCTCGAGGCTTCCCGGCCTGCCCTCTGTGCAGTGCTTCAGTCCCCAGTAGCACATTTCTCCACTGTACATCATCGCCAGTAAGTGGGTGTCACTAAATATACCTGCAAAAAGATAATTTAGAACTCAAGCACTTTATTGTTTTCTTAAACATGTGATTTATTAACTTATAAGTCTTTTGTGTTATCAAAGCAAGATTTTTTCAAGAAGTCACTAAATGCCTCCTACTAAAGAAGTACACCAAAAAGCGAATTTCTACCCTTAGAGCACTGCCACAAGAACCTGAATCAAACACCAAACTCTTCTCAGTGGTGGCCAGCAACAGACCAAGGGGCAACGGGTACAGATTGAAACACAGGAAGTTTCATCTCCATATGAGGAAGAACGTCTTTACTATGAGGGTGACAAACACAGGAACAGGCTGCCCAGAGGCTGGTAGTCTCCTTTTCTGGAGATCTTCCAATACCTGCCTGGATGCCTCCCTGCTGGAGCAGGAAGTTTGGACTAGATGCCCTGTAGTAGATGAAGTCCCTTCCAACCTCAACCATTCTGTGATTCTGTAATGGAAGACACTATGGGAACATCATCTTAACTCAGGGTGATCAGCAGCTGCTTTAATATTTAAACAAACAGAAAGCCACATAAGTGTCCATGACCATTCCAAATAAATAAAATAAAATAAAATGTATGGAACATCAGCTACTGAACTTGGCTTTGCAATCTGGAGCAGACTTGGAGCAACCTATCTTGGTCAGAAAAAAATTTAAAAAATAGAAAAAAATAAATGCAAATAAAATAAATGCATTCAGAAAAAAAAATAAATGCAAAGGTGCTCCATCCCGCATGGGCATCTGTTCCTCACAACCAGACTATGGTAAAGTTTAGGGGGTACAATGTTGGCCTCAGCACCAGCTGTTTTACTTGAAAATCCACTTCTGTGTGATGCTAGTTCCATCACACAGATGTAGCTACAGATGCTCAGGTGAAATGCACTACAGTAACACAACTTAGATAAAGCTACAGTAGAGAGTGATAATGAAGTTTTGCTACTCTGAACAACATACTCTTCTGTGTGAAATCAGTAATTCATCCTATCTGTTTTCTCCTACACCTACAGAGGAATGCAACATAAGAACATTTAACACTCACTGCAGTCATATTTATGCCTCTAAGATTTGTCATATGAGAAACAGATCCTTAGACAATATGCCCAATTTGTGTAAAACACAAGTAGCCTCTCTTGCCAACTTCCCAGGTGCGCTTACAAAGAATAAATGAACATTATCACCTCCTAAAAACTAAGTCAAAAGAAGGGAGAGTTGAAAGGGCAAAATAACACGATTGCTTATTAATCTCCGTAACTACTCTCTTCTTGTTCTAAAAATTTAGTTTTTCAATAAAAATCAAGTCCAGCTTGATCTAACAAAAACGCACAACAGAGTTTTATAAAGCCAGGAAGGCGTCTGGGGTGTTTTGTACTTTTTTATTTACTTATTTATTTTTACCTGCACTGAGTAATCTAGCTGAGTCTTTGTCCTGAAATGAGACATCTTCATCTAGCTGGAGAGGGCATCTAAAGCTAAGCATCTTCATCAAGTAATGGACTCCATCACTGAGACACTGAATACAATTAAAAAAAAAAAAAAAGGAGAGAAGAAAAAATAGGCAAATTCTGAGCAACAAGATTGCCATAAATAGTTTCAATGTGACGTACCCAAACAGTTGTTTAAAATAAATAAATATAAAAGCTGTACTTTAAAAAAATCATACTTGAAAAGTGTACTTATGGACATTCACATACTTATGACCTTTTTTTTTTGTTTTTAAATCTCCTTTACCTTTTCAAATATGCCGATATTTTCCTTTAGCCATTCACTCCTTTCTTTCATAGTGTGACAATACATGTAAAGCAGGGCTCCTTTCCTCCAGTAAAGACACTCCAATAACTCTGTGCCAAGGATGCTAGTAGGCTGAAATAAAACCCAATAAAGTGTGCTCAGCCGAAAACAACCATTTGAACTATACACGCACACACTGAAACAAGCAAACGGACCTGCATTGACCCTCTAGAGGATACTGTGTACCTATTAGTGATGGTCACAGACATAAGCTTAACACGTTGGATTTTAATAGTGGAAAGCTTCTGGCATCCTGAAATACTAGTAAGAAAATATCTTGGCATCCATTTAGTTACTTGAAAAAATATTTATGGGCAATGATTTGGGACTCGCTACTTAACTATAAGTAAGATTTGGACTTTTTCAGCTGATGTCAAATTTTGCTCATCAAAAATGCAAATACCACTTTTTTGCAAAAATGAAATAATTAGTTTTCTGAGTAATGTTATTACTCACTTCTTCATTTATGTTACATTCTTTCATTAGGTCTTCTGGTTCTGAAAGAATACAAGTAAGTTCTTTAACTTTTTGTAAGGAATAGTCTTCTGGAAAATCTTGATCTACAAGCTGGTTTTCCTCAAAATATGTAATATCTAGAACAGCCTATGAAAATAGGAAGAAACATAATGTAAAAAAAGAACCAACAAAAGGTAAAAATAAGTAGCATAAGCAAAACACACCACAAAAACTAATCGGTGGCATACAGTAAAGTACAGACTTGTTAAGAGTTTACAGAAATACTATAATTTTAAAGATAATCTATAACATTTAGTTTTTAAAAGTGTTGTAAGTTAAAAATATTAAAATTAAAATAAACTCTGAGACCGTTTTCTTTTTTCCTTCATATACTTCTGCAATTATTATCAACTCTTCTTGGTTATTTCTAATTAAGAACAAAAGTGAGCCTGTACTTTGGAAAAATTCTGTAATCTGCACGCATTAAAAAGCAGAAATGGAAATACTTTTTAGCTATAGCTGCTCTGCTACACCCTAGCCAATCCTATACTGTACATGGTGGACTGTTTTAAAGTTGGGCCACAAATGCTTTTAATATATACTACCTGTGTATAAAGCTGCAAAAGCTCAGAAGGATATGTTTTTCCTTTCTCTTCTTTACAGAGGTCCTTCAACTTCTCCACAGCAGCAGAACCCTTTACTAAGAAAGTATCTGGAGAAAGAACACAAGGTTTCTTAGCACTGAAGAGCATCCAGCAATAGACTTCCTTACTCCCCCTTTGTATCTCAGATGTATTATCCTCCTTGCAATATCGACAATAGCAGCTGAATAATAAAGTGCTTAGGCACCTGGTCCTGTTAGGACTACTAGTGTCACAGCCAAATTCATGGCACTAATACCTATGGTCCGATGCTTCAAAATCACTCATTTGCAAAGATACCATAAAAGAAAAACGTTGCCTGTTACTACACAGCTATAAATTTTAGCCCTCTACACCCTGACAGGGAGAAAGGGCTCGAGCACTCTCCGTAGTGAGGGCCGCACAGTGCGCCGAGGCGCTGACGGGGCCAAGGTTTTTCCTGAGAGGGGGCTGGGCCTGCGGCCGCTCACCATCGCCTCCCGCTCCCCTCAGCGCTGCC